TGGAAAGAGGTGGAGACCCACCAACTCAATTCAAGCAGGGGATTTGTGTCTGTCTGGGAAGCGGTACCGCGAGGGATGAGAGCGGGACTGCAGTTCGAACCCACAACTCGCTTGGCACCAGTCAAAAAGGACAGGGGACTCTGTGTACGTTCTCCTGCCGAGGCCTATTTTAAGCAGCATTCAGACGCTGGGGGAGCCGGGGTGGAAGGCAGTCCGTGGTTGCTTTGGAGAGAGCCAGTGAGTTAAGACCCAGGTCTAGGAACCCACCGGGAATCTGACTTTCCCTCTGCCCAGCCGAGCTTTCGTGAGACAGTCTGATAGAGTTAACCGGTGCAGAAGGTAGGTAAAACAGACTACGTGGACACTGGAAGGCTTTGCTTGATGAATAACTTGAGGAAATTATTATTATTATTATTATTATTATTATTATTATTATTATTATTATTATTATTATTATTGCTATTCCCCCCCCCTTTTTTTTAGCACCGTGGTTTGGTTTTATGGCTTATTTTCTTTGCTTTCCAAGCTTATCAGCTCCTTTCGATCGAGTGTCTCTGTTTTTTAGATGGCTAGCCAAGGAATTAAGACATAGGAATCCCAGGACGTGCCGGTGGACTGCGGCAAAGTATTTTAATGCGATTGCTCGAGAGAGCACCCTGTTCTTTGAAAGGTGCTGGCTGTGGCACTCTTAGCAGAATAAGGAGGGGAGTAAACCCCCTTCCCCTGAACACCCCCCCCAAGTAGTGCAAAGGAGGGTTCCTTTGAGCCTCTGAAATTAGAGGAGGAGAATAGGGGCATTTTCGCTGCCTGCACCCCCTCCCTCCAACAACTGCCCTGCGAACCAGATTTTATCAAGATCTATCCGTTGCAAAGCTAGCCTATAAGCTAATGTTGGCTAACGCCAAACAAGCTAAGCAGGCTTCGGTCTGGAAAATACTTGGATGGGAGACCATCAGGGAATCCTACAGGATGGGAGACCACCAGAGCATCCCTGGGAATGTCCCAGAAAGTGGCAGACCACCTTTCTCAGGAAAACTGTGGTGGTATGTCTGTAAAGTCACCCAAAGTTGAACTCAAGGGAGACTTTAAGGTGCCGTTGTAATGGGAAATATATATATATGGATATCCATTTTTAGAATTTGCATCTCAACCCTGTACATGTTTGGTAGGTGCTAGGTATGTTATGCTCAGTTGTGCAACCATGGAAAATCTTTGCTTTGGGTATGATTAGATCAGTGTTTCTCAACCTTGGCCGCTTTAAGATGCGTGGACTTCAAC